AAAAACATTAACATAATTTAAATTGAAATGTTCATTACCACAATTAAGTTTCATTTTTATGTATTTGGATAGTTATGGATTATAAGAAAAGAAGATAACAATCAGGGTAAAAAGAATTATTGAATAATTGAAATAAATCAGTTTGATAATGTTATTCTCTTTATTGATTTTCATTAAACTAATAAAATCAAATAATTAAAATGCTGTAAAATATTAAACATGTTTATAGTATCATTTTTGTGAGTTACCAGTTTATGAAATGTGAATTAAAATAAAAAGTAGTTAATTAATTACTGTTAGATTTATATTATATTGCTCTTTGCTCACACTGATTAATCACATCATTGTGCTTTAAGAATGAATATTATCAACTGCTCACATATTGCATATCTTTTCTTCTTGTTGAGAGGTGTAAATTTCTATTCTTTATTCTTCTATTTAGATTAAGTTAACGTCTTTTCAAACTTCTTTATCTTAATTATTCATCATTTAACTGACCACCTCGTCTTTATTTAATTTAATGTGTATTAAAACTCTTCATTCTTTACTTCTTATTTTGTGTTGATTATATCATTACCATTGTATTATTATGAATAATTTCATTTAGTATCAACAACAAATAAATCCAGTTTCATTGATAAGACATTATATTCATTTCAATCCTTTCATCATCAAATATTCCTGTGCTCTAACAAGTAAATAATACTCTCATCTTTATAAATATCAACTCTATTACAATAAATGATGTTCCATCATCACAAATAATAATCACTGATATTATTGTATTAATGATTAAGATATTTTCTAACCAATAGTAAAATCATAATCAGATGATAACTAATGATTCAAAGTGATTTATTTTAATGTTTATATGATGTTTCTGACATGCCACTTCAAGTTCTAAGTGAATGACATTAAGTAAGAAAATAAATAAAATAACAATTATAATCATTTTCAAACTTATCTTATTTCCATCTCCATTTTACTTCTTATAATGTATTATTGATTAAAGATATAGGAAGTATATGAAACGTACAAGGACACTGAGAATTGACGCTTAATCTAAAAAATGATAGTTAATATTAAAACAAATGACTTTTAAAAGAAATAACCAATCAGAAAAAGAAGTAATATTTTCAAATAAATAACATATTTTCTGAATTATCAATATTTAAACTACAAAATAAACTTACTATTCATCAAATGTCAAGAGTAATAGTAAGATTCTTTTTAAATGGACAGCCCGTTTCAACTAAACCACTGACTTCACAAGACAATTTGAAAACAGCAAGAGAGAAATTAAGTGAGAAGATGTCTGTTTCTCAACAATTTTTATCAAAAGACGGTGATTTAATTGATACAAATGATGAAGAGTGCTTTACTATCGGAGATATAATTGATTCATCAAGAATAATAAATATCAAAGAAATATCAGATAAAAAAGGAATAAAAATAAAATTAAATGATGAAGTAATTAGTACTGTTCAAATAGATAAGAAAACAAAATTAAGTGATGTCAGGAAATCAATTCAAAATATTCCAGAATCTGCACATTTCTATACACTTGACAACGACATGATTGAAATGATCGATGAAGAAACGTTTTGTGTAGAAGACATATTAAATAATGATGAAATCACTCTTAAAAAAGAGAAAGAAAATACACCAGAAAATGATACCATAACTGTTGGAATATGTTTGAATGGAAAACCATTAATAAAAAAACAATTAAACAAGAACAATTCTCTTTCAGATATTAGAAAGGAAATCGAAATTATTGAGTCGATTCCAAAAGAATTTGTATTTGAAGATCAAGAAGGATTTAAAATACTGACTGGTGAAGAAGAGTCATTAAAATTATCATCTATTCTGTATGACAACAAGATCAGTATAACAGGAAAAGAAGTGTCTGATACTTCTTTAAATAATACAACAA